GGACTCCGTCACCGCCGTCCTACTCCGCGCCTGCTACGCCTCTTGCCGTGCCTTGTGCCGCAAACCGCCTTGCCTCTTGAATAGCTGCCCGGGGTGCCGTGCCTCCTTCCCCGAACCCTAGTTGAAGCCGCCGCGCCCTAGAGCACCTTCACCGAGCCATAGCTGTAGCCCTAAGCGCCGTCGTCAACCATCCCGAGTTGGCCGTCGTCGTCACACCTTCTCCATCCGCGAAAAGCTTTTTGGTGAGTTCGCGATCATCTCCTCTCGCTCCCCGTATTTCCCTTGAGTCTAACCATGGCCTAAATCGCCGGATTTGTGAACTCCAGTGAGCTCATCCATGGCGCCGCCACAGACACCTCGTCGTCGGCCCTGTTCCAGCCAGGCCGTCTTCTCTCTCTCCCCTCTGGTCTGATCTCAGCCGCCCGCATCTAATCCAACGGCCCATATCGAAGGATACCCCTTCGCCTTGTAGTTTTGCAAAAGAGCCCTTATAAGTATTTAGTTTGTAACCCGCAGTCCATAGCGTCTTTCCAGATTTCGTTTTCCTCTTTTGAAAGCGTACTTTGTTTCGGTTAGATCTAAAATACGTTTTCACTTATTTACAGTTTTGCCACTAATCTTGTTTTAGCCATAAAATCTCCGTTTTAACTCCGATTTGATCCGTTCAACTTGCGTTAGGTTTGTAATTCCATAATCTACATGTTTATACTACTGTTAAGTAGGTTTTCAACTTTTAAAATTTGAGATTAGATTCAATCTATTATTTTACTAAAGAAAATCTTGTTTAATTCATAACTTCTTCGTTTTAGCTCTGATTTTTTAGATCTTCGCGACTGTGTGTTCGTAGTGAGACGTAGATTCGGTTTACAAACTTTTCATCTTAATTTTATACTGATTGATGTACTGTTCTAATCTATAGTTTTTATTTGCTATGCATGATTGCTTTTGGATGCTTGTATGTTGCTATGATTATTGAGTATAGACGGTGAACAATTCGTGGGTGACCAATAGTACTACTTTGACGAGCAAGAACAGCAGGAGTACTTTGTTCAAGACAAGTATAGCATGGGATTATTCTTATTTCCTATCAACTTTAATACATTTAATTCATGTTGCATGTGTCATCTTAATAGTGATTCCCTAGAATTGAACTTATACCTTGTTTCCTATGAGATATGCATTGGGTAGCTTTGCTAGTGCTCAAGTGAACCATGATCTTGTAACTTGACTAATGGTATATGTAATAAGCATTAAAACATGACTTTTTAGCAACTTAGAAACAGGGGGCTGGAGTGTTTAGCTACTTTCTAAATGCTTCAGATTCCTCTTCCTAAGGACTTATCTGTAAGTGATCATCCGGGACTTATAGTACAGCTGTGAGAGCTACATGGCTCTGGCTTTAGCTCAGTATGAGGACCTTTTCTAGCTTGTTAGTGGTTACCTTTATAGGCGTAAAATGGCTTGCCGAATCGGGTATAGTGTGGCCTCTGTCCCTATGTGTATAGGCTACGTATCAATGTGCCATCAAGAAGGGGGGCTCTACATCTGTTTGCCAAATGAATCTAATGGCCCTAACTTGTTAGACGAACCTTTAAAAGGCTTCATAGTGACCCCTGCCTGCTCACCTTGGAAGTGTTTTGGGAGTAATTAACACGGGCATATGGGTATCACGACTCACAGTGAAAGTGTACAACCTCTGCAGAGTGTAAAACTGGTATATCAGCTATACTCACGGTCACGAGCGGCCTTGGAACCCTTATGGAATAGATGTTCACTAAGAATTATCTGGTTATGTTATTCATTATTCATGTTTACATTGATCATATGTTTTGCTTTGGGATTTGAAATAACTTGTTGCTACTCTTATGTTAAAATTATGATAATTAAAAGTTGAATGATGTTAAACCTGTATCAAGCCTTTTGAGCCTCATGAACCCCATGTTACGCTTGTTAAGTACGACATGTACTTACGCTTGTTTATTTTCATTGTTTGATAAAAATCCCGGATGGGTAACAGATGGCTTTGGTATGGACGATTTTCCTAAGGACTACTAGACTTGTGGTCAACCAGTCGACGTCCCTGTGGTATGGAGCTTCCGCGAGAGATCTTTTCTTCGTACTTCCGCTATATTTATGTGAAGACTCTGTCTTAATATTCGTGATGTAATAAACACTTGTGATGATACTATTTATAATTTATCGGCTTATGTGTGTGACTGATCTCTGAGCGCACATAAGATTTTGCATCCCATTTTATCCTTAAAATCAGGTGTGACATACAGTTCATTCTTGGGTCATGGTCGTCGTCGTCGCCACTTCCTTCTGCTATATTTTTGCTATATATTCATGGATTATTATCCTTTCTCGACTTCTCGAGGCAGTGGTTCTGTGATCGACAAGTGATAAGCTTGTTTCACTAGTCGTCTCTACTGTTCCTCCTCATCACTTATTTATGCCTTTATATGCTATGCAATGCACCCCTGAAACTGCCTGAAAGATTTTGTTATCTGTTTTCGGTGTATCAAACTTATCACGTGAAATATTTAGGGCCCGTTTGCTTTGAATCAAGCTAAGGCAGATTTGCCTGGCTCTCCATACATTTCCAGGCATTGGATGTTGTGAGCCTGCAGGGATGGAGATTGCTGCTTGACAGGGCTTAAAGCAAACAAGCCCTTAATATTTAATTTTGCTAGTTTTCATCAAGCACAGTGGAATACTAGAACCATATACGACATGACTAACTGACGACGAACCTTATTTATTATACATCTTTGTGATGGCCAATCGAGACCCTTGGACATTGGTTATAAAGTCCACACCATTGCCGTGCTCGCATCCATACACGTTTTGCGGAGGACGGCTTCCAAATCCAAGTCGTCGGCTCGTTGCCCGGCCGGCCTCCCTTTTCTTTTCTGCACTGCGTAAAACTGGCGCACTACCTCTCAAGCCCAAACGGTGGCAAAAGAAAAAAAAAAAGGCGCTCAGGAACCCTCGATCAGGTGTTCAGCGTGCTTATTATATGCAGTAATATTATACTACTATTACTTTGGAGCCTTCGTGTTAATTTTCATAAGACGAGTTATGAAAAAGAATTCTAGAAATTCTCAAACATCTGGCCATCAGTTTAATTGGATATAATTGTCTTTGATAACTACTAGTTTACTGACATGTGCAATTGTCGTTTTCTAATACGTCAATCAATTTCAAATTTAACCAAACTTACATAACTTGATATAGAATGTATTACTAACATTGTCCAAAAAAGATACAATTTCGGGTTTACATTGAATCAAATTTGTTCAAGATTGACTAAGTTTATAAAAAAATATTATTAATATTTATGACTCGATTTTTTTTCTTGAATACGCAAAAAATTTGTGTATCATTCTAATTAAGAAGAAGAGTTTAACCATACAAACGACGTACTCTGACGAGCGGCCTAGGAGGTCTACTTGACCATCCTAGTGTACAAATTCAAATTTCGATATTACATAAATGATACACAACCGAGTTGTTGTCTACGCGCTCCTACTTCGTCATGCGAGAAGAGCACGCCGGTGTACGAGCGGCTCTTCTACCAGCCCTATTGTTGGTGTAAGTAGAAGAGGCAGTTGAAGCATCTATCGCGAAGCTGCGTGAGAATATTTATGACTCTGTCATTATGAAAATATATTTTTTGATTAATCTAATGATAAGTTTTTAATATTCATTTAATTTCTTGACAGATACGAGAACGACACTTTCTCTAGGACGGTCGAGTACTTAGAATTATAACTTTCTTTTTCTTTTACTTGGAAGCACACGCAATTTCCTGACCATGACCAAACACCAGCAAAAGCAGAATGTTGCCTGGACACGTACGAAGCACGCACCGAGATCAGTTCAGTCCAGTGGGCTGTGGGCCGCCACCATGCTACTCGTCGCCTTCGCGTTAGAGCCGCGTGGATTACGCGCGCCAAATTTGTCCGGCGTGCGCTAGCTCTGCGTCCTTGCCATCTTGTCTCGTCCTCATATGTTTTTTCTCTTTGCTTGTACATTTGTGACGGTTATTAGTTGATCCTAAATACTATGGCAATGAAGTTACATTGCGACGATTTTTAGTTTGTCTTAAGACAACGAAACAGCTTCATCGTATATGTTTGCATTTGTTATCCAGTTTTCCCTTACTTCAGTCGTCTGAAATTTGTGTTTGTTGTTCAGGCGATGTTGTACGACGAATTTTGCGATATTCACGTAGTATATATGTGATGTTCTAGGATGTATTTTGTGATGTTCACGTACATACGACACTCGCCTGAATTTGTGTTTGCTGTTCAGGCGACGTGTGGTGATGTTTGCGTAATGTATATGTAATGTTTTATGATGTATTTTGTGATGTTCGCATAGTATACACGTGACGTTCTATGGTTGTCGCCTGAAAAAAAAGACTATATTTCAGGCATCTGAAATATAGCAAATCCTTTTTTTTATTTCTGTTATAAATTATAAGACGTTTTAACTTTTCTATATACATTGTTTTAGCTATCTATCTAGATGTAGTGAAATTGCAGCCAACTACTGTACATTATTTTTAGCCCCAACTAGTGATTAACTATGTGTATGTGTGTCCAAATATGTCCTAAGTATATTATAAAATCTATGTAACCAAAATATCAAAATAATTTGGTAACATAGAGGACTTGTCTCTCGACAAAGGTGGCTGAGTTCTAATCTAATTTATCTACACGAGTGCAGGACGGAGAGTCCTACCACTGCCGAACTAAACGAAGTGCATGAACTTTCGTAGAAATTTAGCTTATGCTGATTTGACACGAAAAGCGCTGCAATTTACACTCCTCTCAGCACGCGCATAACGGCATAAGTACGTGGGCAGTGGGCAGTGGCAGCCGCCCCAGTCACCGGCCCACCGCAAGCAGCAGCAGGCAGCACACTCGCAACGGTGACGCGTAGAGGTGAGGGGCGTAGCGCCGGCGCTGAAGCAGTAGATTGTTTCGTCTGATATGCCGCGCAAGCGACAGAAGCGGGGGTGGGAGGGCGGAGACGGAGGCCGCGACGGCGACGATGACAGAGAGGAAGGCAGCGTACCAGGCAGCGGAGGAGGCTCACCGCCACAGCCGGCCGCTTCCTCCTCCGCGCAGGCGCTGAAGCGGCTGTACCGCTTGCCGTCCGACCTGTGAGTATCGTTGACTTTCATGCTTCGATCTCGACACAAACACTTGCAGTATTTGTTCTTTTCCCAACGTTTGGTCCCCCAAATGAAAAGCTAATTCGCTGCTGCCGGAGTGCCGGAAATGTAATTTGCAGTGGGATTAGGGGCTGTAGTTGCAGTTGCAGCCATCACCAGGGACAGGGGCTCCCCACTGGCTGTGCCTGTGTGCAAGCGGTCAAGACAAGAATCAACGCTGCTATTAGCCGGGTAATGTAAAAAAAAACTGATATATATAGGTTTATTTATTGAGTTTTTTCTTTTATGTCACAGTAGAATGTTTGTTCAAGTGGTGTTTTGTAATTTAGCATGTCAATCATCCAAAATGTCAAAGGATTGGGGACAGAGTCTCAAGTTGTCGGTTGAATACTGATGCTGATAATAATGCCCCCACTAATTGACAGCCATCTTTGTTTCATTTCATTTCGTATCATCCATCTTTCTATTGCATTGTAAAGTAAATTAGTATTCACATATCTATATTAATATAGATAATGAACATAACTGTGTCAGCAATACTGACCCCCTTCTTTTTTTCCTGTTCCTCCTTCATTTAATAGTTTATGGAAGAGGTGGCACAAGTACTTACAAGCCCCTGGAACCTTTCTCCTAATCCACAGTAAGTTTTGCGTTCCAAGTTTTTGCAGCCTGCATGGTTACATTCATGATCTGCTTCTGCATCTCACTTGCAATGTCTACGCAGAGAGAGAATTGAACAGAATCTGCCTCCAACCTACAAACTCACCTTCGTGAATTCCATGAGCGACAAAATTTTTACAAAGAGGGAGGTCCGGGCAGCGGGTGGGGGTCACCTCATGATAAAATTGGCTGTAAGCAATCAGCAAGGTAGCAACATTCCCCAGCTTCTCTCGGCCAATGTCAAGGTTTTGGTTCTGGATGGTGACTTCAATGCGGACAATCGTGAGTGCTGGACATCCGAGGAGTTTGAACACCATATAATGATCCCACGGGACAAAATTGGGGCGGTGCTTACAGGGAAGCTGAAATTGAAACTGAAAAATGGTGAGGCCTACCTCGAAAACATTATTTTTGTTGATAACTCCAAGTTCACAAGGAGTGGCAAGTTTAGGCTTGGGGTAATGCTTATTGATAATCATGGTGAAAGAGTTCAAGAAGCTATAACTGAACCTTTCACAGTGAAGGACCGCCGAGGGGAAGGTAATCCTGAAATTGAGTTTGGACTATTTTACCTTCAGTTTTGTGCTATTGGAAGTCAAAACATTTACTGATTAGTTTAAACATTTCTTATATCTGTAGGATACAAAAATGTGATATTCCAACACTGGATGATGAAGTATGGCGCCTGGACAAGATTGCAAAAAGGGTCCCTTCTGTAAGTCATTGGAGCAGAGAGGCATTACTTTGGTGAAGCACTTCCTGAGGCTGTATTATATGGATGAGAAAACACTGCATGATGTGTAAGAGTAAAATTATGTTTGTATCTTTTTCTTGGTCAGATCTTGAATTCTTGATGATCATTGTCACCTTCTTGCTTCTAGATTCTCAGCAGTGCCTCAGATGCATTCTGGAAAAAGGTGGTTAATCATGCTAAGAAGTGTGATCCTGGCACAGCCCTTTACTCTCACTTTATGGAAGACAAGAAAATTAGGCTGTACTTCACTTGTGTAGGTCAGATTGTAGGAGCAACAATAGCTGACCAGTATCATGTTTATGATGATCTTGATACAATTTGGAAGGTATTTTTCTGATGCTCACAGCTATATCAACTACCAAAAGAAATGGGAAGTTGGGGATAAGAAATTTTGCTTTATCTATATGTGAAGAAAACAATATTGGAAACTTTGAAAGAAATGTGTTAATATCTTTGTTTATACCATTTCAGGACCAAGTGAAAAAGTGGAGTAAGGATGCATATGAATGTATGGACTATCATCAACATGATTATGAAATGTATAATAGACAACCAAGAGCAATTAACTCCACTACTCTCCAGGGATCAATCATGTCACCAACTAAGCCTACTGGTCAAGATCTATTACACTCTATATTTTTTATTTGTGCGGAGATGGCTTATTGATTTATTGTAAAGTAGGGATCTTTATTGTCCTTCCAGGTCAAATTATTCATGAAATTGATGAACAAGATACTTCAGAGGTGAACCGAGTTTTTGGTGTATGCTCCCAGCAGTTTCCACTCCAGAGGATTGGGTCCAGGAGAGTAAGGGCGTTACCTTGTGCACAAGAAAACAATGAAACTGTAAGTAATATCCCTATTATTTTATACTGCATTAAATCGTAGAAAATTTCTTATACCTGGACTGAAATAGACATGGCCACAATTCAGAATAAACAAATGTTTGATAGTTCTTTTAATTATATTTTAAATGCATTTAGTAACCAACAAATGCTTTGCAATCATTCTGATTTCCTTTTTTAAGCATTATTTGAAACATTTAATACAATCAATATGCACCCTTTTTAGGATCTAAATTTCTGGTTGCTCCTATTGGATCCATCTCTCTGAAATCACTGACTGAAACACACTTTCACAGGGTGCATCTTTTGGCATTCCCGGGCAGCTGGATTCTGATGATGAAATACAGCATGAAACTTCAGACCTAAATTGTATTACAGGTTCAGTGACACTCGAACCAGCTAGTGCAGCAAATGAAATAGGACCAATAGCCCTACTCAATTAATTGCATGCTATCATTCTTTTTTTCACTAAAGAAAAAAGTGGAAAGCAGTACACTAAATAGTGTCCCTTTTGCAGATTATCCAGTTTGCTGTACAGAGCAGGGGGGACCTTCTCAGTGCCCATTTCCTCCCTCTCTAACCGTTCCAGCTGATTGTCCTGGTTTCTCATTGCAACATAGCTTCAGCGAGAGTGACCTCCACGAGATAATGAAGATGTTGGAGCCAGATGAGCCACACGAAGAACTGCTCATCAATAAGATCTCTCAGTTTTCCACTGCCAATTTGAGCGACATGCCAGCTGATGTTCGCTGCTTCATGGTGAAGCTGCTCTCCTTCCCCAGGTGGATAAAATTGGCTGCTCCTGTGAAGTGGATGGTTATAATGTCTTCATCTAAGAAAATAAGGGCTGCAAAGGGCAAGGCTCATGCTTGAGCAAAAGATTGATGATATTTTGTCCTTTGTATATGGAGACTGAATTGTATTCAATTTTTAATCTGTATTAATATGTGGTACTATATGTATAGTGTTAACTTCATATGCGTGATGTACTCTTTTTTTTTGAAATCGTGCATAGCACGTGCTTCATTAAGGGGAGATAGATGTTTTAGTACATCTCGACCCAACGACGGCGAGGTGCCGCATTTTGTACGAGGAACACACAACACAAATCACCGGCTTGAACGGTGCTGCCACTACTTTGTACTAACTAAGTAAACTTCCTTTTGCGACAAGCAGATATATAGCGAGGTTAAACCCCTATGGCGCAAACAACAGTGCAAGCGAACGGAATCCCGCGCTGACCCACTCGGCTCCCTCCTGTTGTATCCCCTGCAGCACCTGTGCAACTGATGAAGGTGCTCCACCGAAGGTCCTCCGATTCCGCTCCTTCCAAGTCTCCCATGAGATAAGCAGCACCAAAGAATCAAATCCCTTTCTGAACCCTGATGATATCTCCCTCCTCGATGCCAGCCACCAGTTCACCAAATCAGCATCACCGTTTGGGCAGAGGAACTGGAACCCAACCCTTTGGAGCAGTCGATGCCACAGCTCTCTGGTGAACACACAAGCAGCGAACAGATGATCAGCCGTTTCGGGCTCCTGTGAACATAGCACGCAGTCGTCGTTTGCTTGCAGCCCATGGCGTCGTCTCCTCGCCGCTGTCCAGAGTCGCCTGTGGAGAGCGAGTGAAAGGTCCTAATATGGCTAGAGGGGGGTGAATAGCCTATTTAAAAATCTACAAATCAACTAGAGCAATTTGATTAGTATAACAAATAGCGTAATGCAAACTTGCTCTAGCTCTACAAGGGTTGCAAGCCACCTATCCAACAATTCTAGTTGCAATGAATACTTAGGCACACAAACTAGCTATGTAATTACTCACTAAGAGCTCTCAACCTTGCTACTCTAAAGAGCTCAACTAGATGAATGTAAATAATAAAGCAAGCTCTCAATTCTAATTACACTAAAGAGCTTGTATCAACTAGTTTGCAAGAATGTAAATGAGTGAGTAGAGTGATTATACCGACGTGTAGGGGATGAACCAATCACAAGATGAATATATAGCCAATCACCGGGAGAATGACAAAGAAGAGAGACAATCGATTTTCTCCCGAGGTTCACGTGCTTGCCAACACGCTACGTCCCTGTTGTGTCGACCAACACTTGGTGGTTCGGCAGCTAAGAGGTGTTTCACAAACCTCGTCCACACGATTGGACACCGCAAGAACCGACCCACAAGTGAGGTAACTCAATGACACGAGCAATTTACTAGAGTTATCTTTCGGCGCTCCGCCGGGGAAGGTACAACTCCCCTCACAATCACCGAAGGCGGCCACGAACAATCACCAACTCGTGCCGATCCTTCACCGCTGCTCCAACCGTCTAGGTGGTGGCAACCACCAAGAGAAACAAGCGAAATCCGCAGCGCAACACGAATACCAAGTGCCACTAGATGCAATCACTCAAGCAATGCACTTTGATTCTCTCCCAATCTCACAATGATGATGGATCAATGATGGAGATGAGTGGGAGGACTTTGGCTAAGCTCACAAGGTTGCTATGTCAATGAAAATGTGCAAGGGAAAACCCTTGAACCGGCCATGGGGCTATAAATAGAGCCCCCATCAAATAGAGCCGTTGTACCCCTTCACTGGGCAAAACACGCTCTGACCGGACGCTCCGGTCATACCGATCGGACGCTGGCCCTCAGCGTCCGGTCGCCCGATGGACGCCACGCGTCACCAGCTTCAAACGCTGTTCGTCAGATTTTAACGGCTACGAAGCTGACCGGACGCTCCGGTCAAAACTGACCGGACGCTGAAGCCCCAGCGTCCGGTCGTTTCCAGTAAGCTCCCCGAGGCAGGTTTTTTCGACCGGACGCGTCCGGTCCACCTTGACCGGACGCAGACCAGCATCCGGTGCTCAACTCTACCCACTGTGCCGCCTGATAGCTCGACCGAACGCAGCCTTTCAGCGTCCGGTCGCTGAGTGACCCAGCGTCCAGTCAGTAGACCGACGCCAGCATCATTTCGACCAACTCCATTTCAACTCTAACTTCTTCACCCTTGCTCAAATGCGCCAACCACCAAGAATTTTGCATCCGGCGCAATAGAAAATAGACATTTCATTTTTCCAAAAGCGCATGTGCACATGTGTTAGCATATTTTCACAAATATTTTCAAGGGAGTTAGCACTCCACTAGATCCTAAATGCATATGCAATGAGTTAGAGCATCTAGTGGCACTTTGATAACCGCATTTCGATACGAGTTACACTCCTCTTAATAGTACGGCTATCTATCCTAAATGTGATCACACTCACTAAGTGTCTTGATCACTAAAACAAAATGGCTCCTACATTTTATACCTTTGCCTTGAGCCTTTTGTTTTTCTCTTTCTTCTTTTCCAAGTTCAAGCATTTGATCATCACCATGTTATCACCATTGTCATGATCTTCGTCATTGCTTCATCACTTGGAGTAGTGCTACCTATCTCATAATCATCTTGATAAACTAGGTTAGCACTTAGGGTTTCATCAATTAACCAAAACCAAACTAGAGCTTTCAGCGAGCCAAAAGAAAATTTTGACCTTTGGTGGCGTGGCCGTCGCCCAGAGCTCGGCTGCCCCAAGCATTTGGACACGTCCATGGAAGAAGGCGCGATACGCCGAAGAACTGGAGGAGTATACGCCATCAGTCGTCAGGTTCCAGACCAACTTGTCGGGGACGTCCTGCTGTAGCTGGGTGCCATCCACCATTTCCCACACCCGTAGGAATTGGGTGATGAGTGTTGCTGACGTCGCACCGGAGACATCTCTCGTCCACTGCCTGTTGGCTAGAGCGTCGCGGACGCAGTGGCGACGTCGTCGGCTGGGCACAGACGCGAACACAACCGGTGCCAGTGACATTGGACTAGCAGGGAGCCAGTCATCGGTCTAGAATCTTGCGGTTGCTCCGTCGCCCAGGATGATTGAGGTGGCGACGTTGAACATGTGGGTGACGCA